CCCCCCCCAAAAAAAAAAATACTAATTCCTAGATCTATCCCTGACTATGGCCAATAGTTTGTGCATAATAATTATGTATATCACAGAAGGGGGATCGTAATAAAATCAGCAGCATCTGTGCCTGTAGTTTTCATGTGAAGTCTTTTATGCCTTGAATTCATTTAATTGGTCAATGTCTGGCTATCTTTTTGATACATGTTCTCTCCCTTTTGTTTTGATCTTCTTTTGCAGATGTTAATATCGAGTCAACACTCTCTATGCATCCATGCAAAAGAATTTGTGACATAACAGGATATGAGGTAGATAGCTCATTGGCAATATGTGATTGTTGTTTCTTTCAATTTCCAATTTTCCACTGGATTATGATGTTTCTATTTTATGGTCTCCAAATAGCCTCTGGCATAGTCCCTGTTCTTTCTGCATGTTTTGTTTTCCAATTTTTCGAGGGATCCGCCTGTCAATTAAGTTGAGAAGATAAGTGGACTCTTCAAACTTTTGATCGGTTCGCCAATATATTTCAAATCACATTTACCTTTAGCAAGATAATGGCAATTGTCCTCAATGATCGATTGGGCATGTCCTTGAGGCTTTGGGCACCCTACTGCTGAGGAGCACTTGAAAGCTACATCAATCATTGAGATCCAGTTTAGCCATGTTGCCTAAATTTGTAGGATTTAGAATTCACCATGGTGCTCCAGGGTGAGCTTGCCCAGTTTAGGTTGGTAAATGAAGTAAAGCTCGAGCTTGGGTGTTTCATACAACTTTTTCATTTTATGGCCTTACATAATTTGACATTGATTATGTACTTGCATCAAATACACAAGTAACTATTTTGGGCGGCGCTTCTATTTCTACATGCATAAATTCTCTATGTTTCACATGCAGGCACCTTACTTCGATCCAAGGACCAATCTGCGGTACGCTAATGCTGATGTCTTTAAACTCATAAGATCACTTCCTAATGAATATGTTCAGAGCTATCTGGCTCTGAGAAATGCGGCAGTTGTTCTGAAGTAGTTTTCTACAGTCCAATAAATGATGGGAACTGTTGTTTTTTTCCGATATATTCTTGGGGATGGTCACTGTATTGTGTACCGCTCATTGAACAATGGAAACAGTCCTTCTTTACCCTCCTTACGAGGCCTAAGAATTTGTAATTTCAGTAGTTTTACTCTTCCTGAAGGAGTTCGTATTGGATTAGACTATTGTTACCAAAGTGCTTGAGTACGGGATTTTTATGCATTGGGAAAACAAAACCGGTAGGGTGTCATTCAAACCGAGTTTTGCTAGATTGAACCCGAGTTTGACGA